TGGAGGGACAACAGCAACTGACAATTAATTATGAGCTTCCAAGTGGTGGAAAGTAAAGGTCAAGATGGGGAAGGCCTGGAACAGGAGCTGTATCTACTATTGGGATGAGGCCAAGCCACACGAAGGTGACCTTGGCTGCGGGGACTGACTGCACAGAGGGTGGGCAAAAGTCAGTCTTGAGTGGCTACTGTGGACGGCTAGTGTAGCAAGGAAGAGGTAGGAGGAACAACACATGGCTGCCCTTAAAGAAGGTGTCCAGAGCCACGCCTTTAAGCCCAGCATTTGGGAGGCAAACACGGATGGATCTCTGTGAGTTAGAGGTTAGCCTGGTCTACATAGTGAGTTCCAGGACAGCCAGGGCTAGGTAAAGACACACTGTCTTGAAAAAGCAAAAAAACAGACAGATAAACAGACAGACAGACAGACAGACAGACAGACAAAGAGGCGATGTCCAGGAGTACTCAACTTCCTTCCAGAGAACATGGTGACATATACTTATAATTTCAGTGTTAGGGAAGGAGAGACAGGCAGATCCCTAGAATTTGTTAGTCAGCCTAGCCTACTTGGCAAGTTCAAGGCCAAAGAAAGGCCCAGTTTCAAACAAACAAACAAAAACAAACAAAGCCTCTGCACTCCTGATATACTCATGCGCCCACAAACTCATACATGAACGCATGCACACACACCAATAATGAGGAAAAGCCATCAGTTTGGATTCAAGCCTCCTCCTTCTCTCTCCTCAGGTACCACCCATGGAAGAGCTGCTGGGTTATAACGGGCACGCTCCATCTGAGGAGACTCGAGAGCCCCAGGGCTACCGGTTCTTAACCCTTACGGTTATACTAGACAGGTAGCACCAGAAGTGACAGAGAGAAGGTTGTAACTGCTCACTAGAGGAAGTAGCTGAGAAGTCCAGAGGCTCCAGGGTTCTTGTATACCAGTCACACCCATCTCCAATGGCCCAGGAGGCAGGGCCCTCCCCGGAGGAAACTTTGCCCACGTCTATGCACTGATAACTAAGTCTCAGGCAGTAGGCAAAGGCGCCAGACTGCTGGCTACACCTGACCCTTGGAGCAGAAAACAACTGATTCATCCCACTGATCCTTCATTGTGAGGTTAATCCAAAAGGAAAACTGACTGGGCGCGGTTTCTATAACAACCAGGCCCACACCCTCCCACCTGCCTACCTGGACACAAGGAAGAAGCTGGCCTTAGTTCTGAAGCTCCCTTCCCTGAGGACCAGCGGTTCATGAGATGTTCTAGGGCCATCAGAACATCTCCCAAACTCACCATTTTCTACATACATCCCTACAACCTGTGGATCTGAGTAAGACAGGGTCCTTCTGGTACAGGCCTTTCTGAGGCAGAGCCCCTTCACTTTGCTCCTGGAATCAATGTGCCTGATCATAACATCTCTGTTCCTCCTGGGTCCCAAGCCAAGCTAATGGCTTCCTGTCACTGTCCAATACAGAAAACTGAACAAGAGTTTTAAAATCAAGGCCATAGCATGATGAAGTTCAAACATCAGCTCCTGGGGTATATGTGACCTGGCTCTGAACTTTTATCTCTCAGGGAGAGATGGACAGCCCCTTGTGCCTTGCCCCAAGAGACCTAATTCCTAGCCTTTGTCCTGATACCTGCTCCTAGACTACATACCGACTACTCCCGTTCACCTCCTGCGGCTTCCTCGGAAGGTAACCGGATGCTCTTTCTCAAAAGAGTTGGTCTCTTCTGCACGAAGACACATTCTGATCTTTGCCACGTATCTATCTGGTTTCTTGCTTAAATAGACTGCAGTAAGAATTTTCCCCAGAGGGGCTGGTGAGATGGCTCAGTGGTTAAGAGCACTGACTGCTCTTCCAGAGGTCATGAGTTCAAATCCCAGCAACCACATGGTGGCTCACAACCATCTGTAATGATATCTGATACCCTCTTGTGGGGTGTCTGAAGACAGCTACAGTGTACTTACATATAATAAATAAATAAAAATTAAAAAAAAAAAAGAATTTTCCCCAGAAATACCTAACTGAAGGCTATCATGAGGTCACTATCCTAGACCGTAATTTGTGTGCTCTGCATACAGCAGACTTAAGGACCTAGCTAAGACCCTCTCTAGGAGACATTCCACACGCACCTGTGCTCCAGAATGTTCTTTCTATACCTAGAGCAGCTTTGGTGGCTGCTCGGCCGTCACCTGCTCTGGGTTGTGGGCTCTAGTATGTCTGGGGCAAACAGACAGTTCAGGGTCACCCCTATGACGGAGGCACTGAGCTAACTACTGACCAGACCTTGACTACAGAAAAATGGTACTAAGGCCACATTCACTTCAGGAAGAAGATGCATCATCATCATCATTATTATTACTATTATTATTATTAATAATATCATCATCAATTATATTATGTCATTATGTATATGGCTGCTTTGTCTGCATGTATGTCTGTGTACCACATGTGTGCTTAGTGTTCACGTAAGCCAGAAGAGTGCTTTGTATTCCATGGAACTGGGAGCTGCCATGTGTGCTGGGGTGAACCCAGGTGCTGTGGAAGAACAGCCAGTGTTCTTAACCATGGAACCATCTCTCTAGCTCCAGAAGGGTCAACTTAATGATAACAGTTTTACACTTCCGGGGTTACACGGCCCATGGATTTGGAGGCTGGCTCCACTTCCTGTGTGGTTTAACTCTGGAGCCCTCCCTCTCATCTGACTCTGAAGAAATGGCAGGGCAGGGGGACAGCAGCATCTAATGACAGTTCCAGTGCCACTTGACTACTTTCTGACTGCAGACTTGAGAGAGCTACCTGTGGTATTTGAATGAGAAATGTCCCCTGCAGTTCCCTGCAGTCTCAGGCATGTGAATACTTAGGTTCTCAGTTGGTGTCACTGGGGAAGGGTTGGGTGGTGCAGCCTTGATGGGGGAAGTGTGTTGCTTGGGGCAGGCTCTGAGAACAAAGCGCCTCGCCTACTTCAGTACTTCTCTGCTTCACAACTGAGGATGTGAGCTCTCAACTGCCAGCTCCTGCTGCCAGGCTGCCACCTCCTGCCATGCGTCCCTAGGACTATGGACTCTGCCTCTGGGACCGTAAGTTAGAATAAACTTTGGTATAAGTCATCTTGGACATGGTGATTCATCACAGCAACAGAAAAGTAACGAGTACATTACCCAGCCTGCACCGGCTTCCTCACCCTGAGGCAGTCAGTCCGGCTCCGTGTAGATCCAGGTAACACACGATTATGGTGCTTGGGCCCAGAGTGACTCTGAATATCTCCTGCTGGAGTCCTCACCCTCACCCCTGGCCCGCCTTTCCCAGATGGAGCTTGGCAGGGTCTCTGCAAAGCATCAGCACTAGCCTCTGTGGGACTGGCCGGCATTCTGCCTCAGTGGTCTACACAAGTACCCAGGTTCTGCGGTCTCCCAGAGAACAGCCACTGTCTGAGGAGCTGCAGACACAGGAGTTAGTCACTTGGGGGAGGTGTGAGTGGGAAGTGACAATGGTGGCTGCTTCACTGAGTGTTCACTGTACGTCCAGGACTGTGGTGAAGGGATGTGGTCACTTGGTCACTGAGAGGTGGTGTAAGAGCCACACAGGGAACAAGCAGAGAGGGCTCTCTGAGAAAGTCAATATCAAGCCCTGGCTCTGCCACACCCAGCACACCTCTGAGCCTTAGCTTCCTGGTTATAAAACAACGCTGATGAGACCTGCCCTGTGGGCTGTAGATATGAAACAGGCTCGGGCTGGCTGCTTTTCAGGCCAAGTTCAGGCGGTGGAATGGGGGGCCAGTCAGGCCAAATGTTCCAGCCTTGTCTCATTCCTCAGCTGGCCTTGAACTGCCACAGAGCAGGAACCCAGGAAGTATGCATGCCATATACCAGCATCGAGCACCCCCCCAGGGCTGAGCACCAAAGCTCTCCCATCACTGCCAGCTGCTCCTCCCTGCAAGCACTCATTTTACAAACAACCGAGGCTCTCCACAAGGTGAGGAGGACCATGGATGGCCACAGCCTCAGCCTACGAGCATACGAGAGGGACTTCATGCAGAGGTCCGTGGGGACAACCCCTACTTTGTTTCGGATACCCTAGAAAGCATGCAGGAGGCATGGAGTAGCGAAAGGGTGGGAAAAGAAATTAGGCAGCGAGAGGTCTCCAGGAAGTGGGTGGGAGCCATGAGATACTCTGGGGGCTGAGGCCACCAACCCTGAACACGTGGCAAGAGGACCGCTGTCAGCAGGATGGCTGCTGTTTGACAAGCGTCTCTTTGTCCTAACAGAGGAAAGGATCTCCAACCTCTAATTACTGCAGATGAAAAGTGCTGGTCCAAGCGCCCCGTGCCTGGGGCGGCGCTGGACCAGCCACTATTTCAGCTGCATTTCTGCTGATAATATGACTTTGTTTCATGACTCCTGAGCTGCCTGCCAGAGGAAAGAATCACATCTGTCCACAAAAGAGGACGTTTGGGGCAAGTCAGCAGCGATGACAGCAGCAGTGGCCACCCCACATGAGAACCTCAAGGTGACAGGCAGGTCATCCAGGGGTCAGGACCTGGAGCCGCTGAGGGAATGGATAGGAGCAAGGAACATCCCTCAGGCCCATGAGAAATGTCATACACAATATCACATTAAACAATTGAGAGGCTTTCCCACCAATGCAGGACATGGTTTAAAGGCTTTCAAGAAAGGGACCCTTGACCCCAGGTGCAACAGAGGGGTCCCATCCTGGGGTCAAAATGGAGCCACCAGCCCAGTGCTGAGCACACCTGCCCCGAAGACACAGAAGCCTTATCTGGTCTCATCAACACTTGGACCAGTACTGACATCAAACCTGGGTTACCTGCAAAACTGAGGCCCGGCCCACAAGACTGAGCACATGCCCAGGAAATCGCAGCTCACCAGTGGCCGAGTCACGTCTACAGATGCCACAGCTCTAAGCTTACAGCTCTCCTATCCTGGCCTTCCCTCCACCCCACAGGCCCCACAGGCAGGCGTCACCACCCTTACTCACCTGGAACCTGTGCACCAGTTCCAGGGACTGGCTGTCATTCTGGTCAGCCTCGAGGATGACATCGGTCAGCTTGTGGATGATCACGTCCAGGGGTCCCTGCTCCTCAATCGGCCGGCTGAGATTCAGCTGCAGGGTGAGAACAACACAGGGGAAGGGCTTCAGTACCTGAGTCTGCCTCTGGGACCCTTGAGCCTCGGTAGCACCCCAAGAGACTGGACCGACAGAGTAAGAGCCCAAGGGTCCCACTACTCATTATTCTTCGTAGCTGAGGAGAGACTAGACTGTTAGCATGCAGGTTCTCAGGGAATGCTGCACACTGTCTATATGGAGAAAGCACCTCATCTGCCTAACCACCGAAACCAGAGCTCAGGGAAACTAAGAAAAATGACCAGTCACCCAGTCAGAACTCCAGCTAAACAGATATTCTTCCCCTGATGCTCTGACGCCATGGCAAGCAAAGTGGTGTTCCTGGCAAGTCTAGGAGTTGCTTCCTTGAGAACCCAGGCACTTGGATTCCACCCTGAAACCAGAGTGTGTCACTGACCCTGGAGGACTGCCTGAGCACAGGGACGCCTGGGATCTGCTGAGTACTTCACACACTGCTCCACAGGGGAATGTGTTTGTTTTTTCAAGAACACAGGGCTGGGAGCCTCGAGGGAGCCAGAGTGGCCAGCTGGTATTCAGCATCACCTGACCCAAGCCAAAAGCACCTGCCAACAGCCAGGGCACCCTGACACCACGCTTCCTGATGCACCAGATGTCTGTCGCCAGCATATCACCATCACCACGTGCAAGGCTACAGTCTTGGAGGCAAGTGGCGCCAGCCCAGCACCTGGCTGACCCCCCACATAGCCCCAACTAGGCCAGAGAAAGTAACCCCTGACCCCCTGACTTACCCCTCACCGTCATGGGCAGCTAGTGTCTATGAGGATTCAGGGCTGGGTAGGTCTATGTCACTTGTGACACAAGATAGCTACAAGCTGTCATTCTGAGGAGACAGCAAGGCAATGATATACATACCTGTCTCCTTTTATTCCCAACCACTATAGAAAAGGAAATCATAAACTAAGCATCTGAGGACAGAGACTTTAAAAACCTGTCTTGGACCTGGGTGGGAGAGTTCGGCTTAGATACAAAGTAAGACCTAAGGCAATTGATTTAAACTCCCAACACGCCCTCTATCCTCTGCCCCATGTCCACTCTGTCCCCTGGGTGTCACAATTCCAAAAGTCACAACCTTACAGCCGCTGTCCTCTGGCAGAATGAGAGATAGAGGCCATAGCGGAGGTGATAGCGAAGGTAGGTCATGACGCTGAACCCTGCACCTGGTCCTCATGCCTTTCAGTCCTGGTATTTCTGTACAGCCTATCTCCCAAGACGGCCAGCTATCTCTGTGGCTCCAGTTACGTTTTTGGTTCTCGTGTCCCAGCAGGCCTAGGCATGATGACAATTCCCCACACTTGTTCATACTACATATTCTATCAGGTCAGCCCCTCGGGCTCTGCTCACACCTAGCGATTATACACCCTTATTTTAACTTTTTCTTCTGATAAGCCTTTGAAATTCGCCAGCTCTTTCCTGCTGTCCTTAACCCTACTTTTTATGGTTTGCCAGGGGAGATGTTAAAAGGTCACCCCTATTTAAAGGAAAAAAAAAAAAAAGTACCAGAGACCTCCCAATAAGAAAACATCAAGGACTATGCTTCCCTCCCATGGTGACGAGCTTGTGTACCAAACAAACCAAATACAGCCAGGAGACCAGACTGAGGAGGGGAAGGGATGCGGCCCAAGTGTCTTTTGTTGTTTAAAATTATGTCTGGCTGGTCTCAACATTAAGGTGATCCCCTGCCTCTGCTTCCTGGGTGTCTTCTAAGACCTCACAGCAAGGCTGGAAGATGGCAATGATCTTCCTACCTCCTAGGAGCATCAAGAACCGAGGAAGAAAAAAAGGGCCAACCATGCTATGTTGCCGGAAGTAGGCTGAGGCTCAGCAGAAATGCCAGTGTCTGTCCTGCCAAGCCACCAGCCAATCTGTGCTTGTCATGACCCTGGCTTCAATTTACCCTGAGGAAACTGAAAGGGCCTCTTTGGCTCTGTGTGGTGACTCCACAGTAGACTTTCTTCCAACCCCAACAGGATTTGAAGGCAGGTGAAGAAGCCTATAGTGAGAGGACGCTCCCAAGGAGCTACAGCCATGCCTGCTGGGATCTGTTGTGGGCAGGCACCACAGACAGAAGCACAGTATTTTCAGACCACGGCAGCTATGAAAAGATAACTGGGTCTCAAGAGTGACAGTGGGCACATTTCCCCAAGTTCAGACAGAACTACCATGCTGGTCTCCATCCTCTAGTCCTCCCTGGACCAGGTACTGGAGAGGGAGGGATAGTGTCAGGGCCTAGCTTGGGTACCAGGTAGGCATGGTTATGTTAATTACTGTTGTTTTAGAAGTCAGAGGTGCATCTTGGGCTACTGGAGTTTGCAAAGACAAAAACCAGCCAAAAAAAGACCAGGGGTCCCCTGATGATTTGGGAAGGCGGTAGCCATCGGCCTGAGGCCTGTAGACCTGACAACCAAGGGCTGTTTGGACAATAAGCTCCCTGCGTTCCTGGCTGCTCTACAAAAGGTAAACAGTTGAGTCTGGAAGCCAGCCACCTTCCTTTGTGTACTTTCCAGGCATCTTTATGCCAATAAAGCCCTTTCACAAGAAAAGCAACTGGGGACACATCAGGCCTGGTGCAGTTCTGTTTCACAGCATGGCCACCTCTTGCCATGGCATTGTGTCTTCGTTTCTTCTCTCCTCTCCCTTCCCCTTTTTAAAAAAAAAAAAAAATATTTTGTGTATATGAGTACACCGTAGCTGTCTTCAGACACACCAGAAGAGCATCACACTCCATTACAGATGGTTGTGAGCCACCATGTGGTTGCTGGGAATTGAACCCAGGACCTCTGGGTGAGCAGTCAGTGCTCTTAACTGCTGAGCCATCTCTCCAGCACCAAGTTTTTCTATGTAGCCCTGGCTGTCGTGGAACACTCTATGGACCAGGATGGCCTTGAACTTGCAAAAGATCTGCCTGTGTGTGCCTCTAGAGCCACTACACCTAGATATTTTGTTCTTCTCTTTAGCTCAAGCTGCCCTTGAACTTGCAGCCCTCCTCCTGATTCTCCCTCCTGGGCGTTAGGGTAACAGGTGTGTGTCACCATAGCACTTCTGAGTTGTATAAATGAGCCTTTCTGCGTTTCTTCAAGTGACCAGAGAAGCCGTCATCATTCTCCAGGGATGATGCCTTGAAAGAGCCTCAGAGAAGTCCCAGTCTCTCCCCACTACCTTGGACTTCATCTGAGGCCTCAACAGCACATGATGGACGTGAAGGACTCCTGAAACCAGAACACCACAGAGGGAACTGCAAAGCTGGGGCCCTGGGGATAGAGTATATCACAGATGAGGGAACTGTACGGAGGGATGCTTTAGAAGATGGCACAGCCAAAGCCCTGTCTCCCAGATAGGATGAGGCCAGGACTCAGGATAAAGATTTGATGTGTGCTCGTCATTCCATTTCTCTGACCACTCAGCTCCCAGAACCTCCCTAGAGACTTCTTGCTCTCCCCCTTGGGAGGAGCGTGATCTGTCCCTCTCAGGGAGTGGTACGAGCATGCTAATGAAAGGCCTGACCACTGAGGCCAGGAATCCACGATTGTTCCACTTCCAGGTCTGGCTGTCCAGCAAGGCCAAGCACTGAACGTGGTTCTACGCGGCACACAGAGTTCTGAATTCAGAGAGAACAAAGGGCCACTGTGTCTCTCACTGACAAAGGCAGTGAGGCTCCTGAGGGGGCAGGCAGGGTTGGGGGGGATATGGAACAAAGCTGGCAAATCCCAGTGGCCCAGGAGTCACCTCTGATTTCCAAAACAACAGTAATTACCATAATCACGCCCTACCTGGTAACCAAGCTAGGTCCTGACACTGTGTCTCCATCCCAATACCAGCCCCTGGAACTCGGCAGGGATGTGAGTGAGGCCGGGAAACCCACCTAACTCCATTACTTCTGGGTAGCCAGGGTCATCTAATTATACTGTGCCTCAGTTTCCCCGTTCATAAAATGAGGCTGCTGTTAACTCTTTCACGTACTGCCCAGGGCTGTGATGAGTCTCAGGGCAAGTTTCCTAACTCTTGACGTTTCTCAACTCATCTTGCAACAAACAGGAAGACTGCATAGATCTCTCAGCTCACCTGAACCCACGAGACACACCCGCTCCCCGCCCCTGACTTCCCGAGGGCCACTCTCCCCATCACCATGCTGTGGAATGCTGTCAGTTGGGGCCCCTCAGGGTTCTTCACTGCAAAGTATGTCCTCAGCACAGGGTCACTGAGATGCAAGGCTGCTAAGCTAAACCTATGGCTTCCTAGATACTAGGGTGTACCTGACTTCAGAGTTGAAAAGGTACAACCGAGGCTGCAGCGGGAATCAGCCAGGTGCAAGGACCGGCTCTCACGGCTACCACCTTCTTAGAGCTTCAACAGCCTAAAGACACCTTTCCGTTCTGCAACACACACATAACCGCTGCATACCTGCTCAGACCCTGCTCATTACATGCAAGGATTCAAATCTCCCTCAGAGGAACAGAGTGGTCAAAGAATACAGTGTACACCTACCTGTTCGTTCAGCACAATGTCACACTCAGATTAACAGTACTTTGCCAAGAAGCATGGTATGTCCAATAAATGCCAACTGTTAGACCTCCCTCTCCTTGCTGTTCATATTGGGACCAACATGAAACCCCCACCCCTCTGGGAGTAGCATGTCACAAGAACTCAGCACAGGGCCAGACTTGAATTCTGCAGAGCCTGGGTACTAGCACTGGCTTAGACTGACATCCTCAAAGAGTGTACTGCCACACCTCAGCTCTCTGTGGTTGGCAATGACAACTGCCACCCACGAGGTGCTTATCGGAAGCTACACTCTGCTCCTAATGATCACAGGGCACAGATGAAGACACTGAATCACACAGGGGTTCAGTGACACACCCGAGAGCACGGAGTTTCACAGTATGGGAACCTAGGTTTCTCTCCTGCTGACACTAGACTTCTGTTCACACCAAAGGGTGTTCAGGGCTTCGTCCCCCTTTCCT